AAATTTCACTTATAGCCGCCCTGGCATCTCAACATGCGTGCTCCCTCACCGTCATCTTGCATGAACCTTCATCTACAGCGTGCACAAACCTGCAAGCTGAAAGGCATCGTCATTCTATACGAGAGATTAGTGATTCATCTTGGCACTCTTGGAACACAAGGACCTTCATCAGTGGTCTGTGATCTACCATTTGGTCCAGGTCACGCAAACAGGCAATATGCTGGAGCACACACTGCATCCACAGCGGCTACTCAGACATGTGTGTGCTCACCTTGAAAATGACCTAGCCCTATCCATAGCCTTTCCTCGCACTCCGACTTAGTCGTGCAGGTCACCTGTTGCTATCCGACCGGTGACTTCGCTCCCGCGGGCAAATGTCCGCTAGTCCTGCTGATGCTTTGGGCCGTCTGGTGTAAGCCGTCACAAAAGAATTGGCGACAGACGACGACTCGCTATTGCAGCACAAGCATGTAGTGAAACTCTTACAATTTCTGCAAATTGGACAAGAAATGGCTGTATTCAGTAAGCGAATTCGAGGCATATAAACGAAACTTTACTGTGACGAGCAAATTATTTTTACTTCATGGATGCCAATACAACATTATCACCCATTCTTTACTGAAAAACGCGCCGTGAACCTTTTTTTTACTTTGGACCAAAGTCTACAGACATTATCCCGATGTGCGTTCTGCATGTCATCACTTTTCATGGGTGTGGCTGCAAAGTCCCAGGCACCTTCTTCTGCGAGCCAGCACTGGAAGCTGTCAACCACAACTACGAATACGCAGTCGCGTGCGCCCACATCTCACTTCCGTTTGCCGAAATCGAAAGAGATCACGCGTGCTTCCGATCAGAGTGCCCAAAGAAGATCACGTTCGAGCCGTGGCGATGTTGCGTATGCGGCGGAGGCCCCAACGATACGACACTGTGCAAGTTCAAGCTCGAGGAATTACCCGACTTTTTGAAAGATTATAAAGACTCGGAAGGCATGAATGCATGCAATCATAATCTTTGCATGAAGTGCCCAAAATTCCGGTAAGTGTCAAGCGAAAGTCGCTCGAAATCTGGCTGTCGACTTACCATGGTCCTTGATTAGGGAACGGCGGTCTTGTGTCATAGAAAAGAGCAAAAGGCGGCAATCATAGGGAGTGAGTTGGCTCGCATCAGAAACTTTCCATTAAAGGCATGTGTATGTTATGTGATGAGGTTTTTTTTTGGTTTGCATTCTATGGGAGATGTATGTATTTTAGTGATAGAATAGTTCTTGGAGGAAACGTGAAACAGTATAGCCCTCCGTCTCGCATCTTACCCCGATTGCCTACGCGAGCCCCGACATCAGAAGTATAATATTCAAAAAAAAAAAAAAAAAAAAGAAAGAATTTAACGATAAAAGACTTGAGAAGTAGAGCGGCGTGCTTTTTCGTAGTCTAATAAGAAGCTTTGCGGTGGCCTTCATTGTGCCAAAGACTTGGCCGGTGACGGGTGCAGCACAGCTACTTACCCCGATATGTGGGTGACAAGTAAAAGGCCACTCTGCCAGCAAACAGAATAGCATCAAATTTGTAATCGTCTGCATAGAGAAGCAACGCATTTCCGCCTTATCTGTTTCATGCTCTTCTTCGATCAATTGTGCTTTCGTGTTGTGGTTGTTTCATGACGATGCCACTGTGCTTCACAGACCTCTTGGACGACATCTATTACTTGAATCTGAGAAATTTGGACACGGCAGATACTGTTGCTCTATTTTGCTTCTGTAGTCAGCTACATTTAAAATAAATCGTGCCAGAATAGGTACGAGCAACGCTTGACATGCGCTACGCGGGGCTCGCTGCAAAGACTTGCGCAAACTGGTGCGTCGAACAATCTGCAATGGCGCCTCTATGTCCGCGCCCATCTATAATAGGAAGTATGAGTTGGGAAAATTTGGTGTGTAGAAACCTATATATGCAAATCGCGGACAAACATGGAAGTCTTGGTGCTTTCAATGCACTTCTCGACCTCGGCGGCACCGCGAAGGTGAAGCTTCTCAAGGAGCTGAACAACAACCGCTACGAATATCTGCATGCTCAATATAAAACAATATCACTAGCCAAGTCTTTTCCCTTTGAAAAGGCATGCTGTTCTTCTCGAAGTATTCTTACGGTCCGGCGCTGCCAAGGCCATGCCGCCGATCGACGCAACCCATTGCTTGGACCAGTGGCCTCTTGAGTTCACTGCGATGTGCCGCACCCATCGAAGCTGTAGAATGTATCTTTAAAAGCGATGCTAGCTCAACTAAAATACAGAGTGAGAGGGTACCCTAGATTTGGCAGTGATGTGGAATTGTCCAGCCATGAATTTATCGTGCAGATTAGGTGCGACCATGGAAGAAAAAGTCATACCAAGAAACTTGGGTTGAGGTGGAACAGGAGCATGTCAAGTGCAGGAGTATGGTATCGAGATATTTCAGAGCCTCCCCAACTTTGGCATCAAAAGTCAACTTATGCGTCAGTGCGCGTTGGTAGACAGGCACCCTCTGACGTTGCAAATGAGCTCCGGACAAACGAAGCAAAACATACAGCATTTATGCACTATTTCCAAACTACAAATACCTAGAATCGAATACTTGCCGACACACCGGCCTGAAATTAAGCGGGTTGAATGTTGCATCGGGGCTACCGGTTCACCAATAGGTGCCGACATGCCGCTGCGTAAAGCAGAATGCGACAGCATTGCACTTGTTCTTTGTGGTAAATCGACCTGGCATGTACACCTGTATGGTGGGTATTTTCACATTATTGACATGATCACGGAGGTACGGCTCAATAACGACGCTAAACCAGCCTTTAAACCAAAAGGATGCATCAGTGAAGAGACCATCCTCTCGTACATTAGAGCTCGCCATGCCATCATCTGTGAAAAGCAAATGATATTGCGCAATAGGGTAGCCATGAATTTTGCATCATACTGAACGCCACCCCCACAAATGATGCTCGACTCAGCACTGAACTCAAAGTTTGGAGGAACACGACCATCACAGGCGAGGTTATAAGCCACAAGAAAGCCACAAGAACTACATCACAAAGCATAATTCATTGAGAAGCACCCAGCGAGCAAGTAAAAGGATACAACTTCAATCATCAGACAGGCCATATCCTCCTTTATGTACATAGACATACTTTACCCGATTCAATACTCACCTCTCAGTTCAGACTTGCCAGCCTCTTATCAGGAGTCCATTTTTTTTTCTTCTTGATAAACCAAATTCATTACAAATTACGGATTAGAAATGCAGAAATAGGGTCTTCTAATCGCGAGAGGACCCTCTCCATTCTTCTTATCATGCCCCTTCTTTTAAAAAAAATTCTTTTCCACTTTTGGAGACGTACGCGACTCGCGCGCCACTTTAGCCAGGGGGAAAAATCTTATTTTTTTGACGCTCAAAAAGCCATCACTAAAACAGTGTCGCGACTAAGCCACCAAGAATTGTTGACAGCCATTATAGCTTGTTCTGCCGACATAAAAGTCAATATTTGTCCAGTTTCTTCACAGCCAGGCTCCAAATAGTATATAAACCCTGCCTCTTCCCGTCGAGACAGCAGTCCCATCACACACAACACTTAACACACACAAGACAAACAATACACACAATACACACGCAATACACACACATGCAAGCACACACAAGCAATTATCCCAATCGACACTGGAAACGTTGACCTCAATATCCTCTCCAGAATGTCTTCCGCTCAGGAAATCAGCACCCCTTGCACTTACTCTGAGAGTCGCCGCACTTCTGCGTCGTCAGCCAGCGGCGTCGCTTCATTGACCTCGTCAACCGAGAACGTCACAGAGCTCAAACCTGACATGACCACCCATGTCTGGGTATCTCAGAATCCAAACCACCCTCTTCCAGCATACGCCCGGGACTATCCCAAACCTACTGGCGAAATCAACATTGACGAGGCTCTCAACCGCAAGCCCGGCCGATGGACCTTTCGCGGCACCGTTGAGGCAGGCCTGAAGAAACAGCCTCGCTCTATCATCACCGAGGTCAGCAAAGAGGAAGCTTATGCCGCGGCTAAGGCGTCGCTCCTTGAGACTGCTGCGCAAATGAATGCGGCCAAGTCCAAATAGTGGTGGATGGAGACGGATGTTTGAAGCACTTTCTTTTGTTAATCAGATGCGAACATGATACCCCATAATGAGCAGCGCAGGATAGACTGAGGGAGTTGGAATAGTTGTTATATTAAATAGTTACTGGTTGCCAAGACATCATTGGAGATGATGCGGCAAATGTAACTTGAATCAAAGCAGTATACTCATATACGAGCAGCGAGAGTGAATCCATAAGTTACGGAGCCAATGAACACGGCAAGATTGAGCAGAGACGAAATGCCGTGAAGAATGCCGAAACGCTTGCTGAGTGCCTTCATTTCGTCCGAGTGAGGACCCTCTTCGTACCACTGCTTGCCGTCTCGCTTGGCTGTAGCATAATTAGCAGACGTTCTGTAGATTGTTCGACCGTACAAACCTTGACCTTGGCGCTGCTTCATGACTTCCTTTGATGCTGGCAGCAGCACGGCGAGGTTCAGCGCACCGGAAACAAACATGGTGGCGATGGGGACCAGAGAACCCCATCTGTTGGACTCATGGAACAGGGTAGAGATGCCATTGGGCGTAGCGAGGAGGGTACTTCCGGGGAATGTAAGCGCCAGGATAGCGGGAAGCGCCGTTTGAAGGCTAAAGTAGATCGGGAACTCCTTGGACTGGATTGCGGAAAAGACGGGACGCTCGACGTTTTTGAACAAGATGGGGCTGTTTACAAAGGTCTAACGGCTGAGTTAGCTTCAATGTCGGTTCTTGTCAATCGTGACTACGAGGACAAACATGGAAGAAGGATGTGCCAAGAAGAGTGCCGTAGCTGCCGAACCAAGGTTAGCACAGTGACATCATGGGCGAGGCACCAACTTACGCAAGAATGTGGTACGGCGCCGCAGACGTGATGATTGAGCCAGCCATGTTGAAAGAGTATAAGAATAAGTAAACTTTGAGGAAATTATCATAAAAGGACGAGTCAATAGGATGCTGATGCAAGGTTCGGATAATGAGGTGACAATTATGCCGAGGATGCATCACGTGCATTCGCGATGGTAGCGCGTTTGACCTCTTTATTTCAGGTGGTCCCTGATTGGTGTTGTGTCTGCGCGCATCTGGCAGTCCCCACACCTTCTGCCTAATGCCAGGCGTCGTCTCGCTCACAGCCATCTCTAATACTAAAGCAAGTTGTCTTTTCTGATCGTCCGGGATTTGTATGGCTATAAGTCTGGTAAATATCTGTGTCTAGCTGTTTTTCTTCCAAATCGGCAATCATGGCGGACAAGGAAGCGACCGTTTTCATCCTCGACCTTGGCGCGTCGATGGGCAAGTCTCACAGCGGCCGCAGTGAATCTGACTTGGACTGGAGCATGCGCTATGTTTGGGACAAAATTACCGACATTGTATCTGCGAACCGAAAGACATTGTGTATTGGCGCAGTTGGCTTGAGGACTGATGGAACTATGAACAAGCTGATGGACGAGGACGGTTACGACAACATCTCCGTGCTGCAGGAGCTTGGACCAATGACCATGACATCTCTCAAGACTCTACAGACGAGTATCAAACCGAGCAAAACGTTTGATGGAGACGCCATTTCCGCTATTGTTGTCGCTGTTGACATGATTGATACTTTCACCAAGAAGCTCAAATGGAATCGCAAGATTGTCATGATCACTGATGCGCAAAGCGGCATTGACCCTGACGATATCGGGGATATTGCTCACAAAATCAACGACTCCAACATTCATCTAACTGTCCTGTAAGTAGTTCTCACAATTGGCATAGTTCGATGCTAATTGGTCAGTGGCGTGGATTTTGACGATCCCGAATATGGCTACAAGGAAGAAAATAAATCTCCAGCCAAGGTACGAGGAAAGAGCGAGTCACTCAATGTTGCTTGAAACTGAAATCACTAGGCGGAGAATGAGAAAACACTCAAAGCCTTGACCGATCAATGCACCGACAGTGTCTTCGCATCCATTGTGGAGGCCATTGACGAGATCGACACCCCTCGTGTAAAACAGGTCAAACCGTATAAGAGTTATGACGGCACCTTGGTCCTTGGTGATCCGGATAAATTCCCGTTCGCCATGAGCATCAATGTCGAACGCTATTTCAAGACACATCTGGCCCGGCAAATGACAGCCAGCACTGTGGTGCTCAAGTCTGAGTCAGGAGGGACACAATCTACACAAACTTTGGAGGAGGAGCCCATAAATGACGTCGAATTTTCGGCCGTCAAACAGGCGAGAACATACAAAGTCAATGCACCTGATGCACCTGGAGGCAAAAAGGATGTCGAGTTTGAATCCCTGGCCAAAGGCTTCGAATATGGAAGAACCGCCGTGCACATCAGCGAGTCGGAGCACAACATCACAAAGCTCGAGACAATAAAGAGTTTCTCCATAGTTGGATTCATTCCGTGGGAAAAATACGAGCCTTTTCTAAGTATGGGTGAAGTATGTGTTACCCATGCCAAGAAGTTTGATGAGAAGTCTGAGCTGGCCATGTCTTCGCTTGTCTGGGGCCTCAATGAGCTTGAGTCGTATGCGATTGCTCGACTCGTCACCAAAGATGGTAAAGACCCAACTCTAGTGCTTCTTGCTCCTGGTCTCGAGCCTGAGCTAGAATGTCTCTATGACGTTCCCCTCCCTTTTGCTGAAGACATCAGGGCGTATAAATTCCCTCCGTTAGACAAAGTTGTCACCGTGACAGGGCAAACACTGACTACACACCGCTTATTACCAACGGAAGAGCTCACAGAAGCCATGGGAGAGTACGTTGATGCGATGGACCTGGACTCGTACGGAATGGATGAGAACGGGTAAGCACATTGCTGTGGCTAACAGTAATGCCGTGCTAACCTTGATAGTGAACCGGCCGAATTTGCGCCTTTTGACGAAACCTACAATCCAGTCATCCACCGCATAAATAATGTTGTCAAACAGCGGGCAGTACATCCCGATCAGCCGATTGATGACATTCCTTCGATACTACTCCGATACGCCAACCCTCCACAGGATTTGATCGATCGAGTGCAAGATCGCATAGAAGATCTTATCAAGGAGGCCGATGTCAAGAAAGGTATGCGTAAATGTAAACACTCTGTTGGCCACGCTGACTATCAAATAGTACCTCCGAAAGCAAAAGGAAGACGCAACAAGGAAGCCGTCAAGCCGCTTTCCGGCCTTGACGTGGATGCACTGCTTGGAGAGGACAGCAAAGGCCAAATCACACCCGAGAATGCCGTGCCTGATTTCAAGCGTGCCATGGCAACATCGGAGGAGATTTCGGATATTCAAAGCGCTGCCAAGCAAATGGGAGGAATCATTGAGTCACTAGTCACGGACAGCTTCGGTGACTCGAAATATGCTCGAGCTGTTGAGTGTATCGGGGTAATGCGGGAAGAGCTGATCAATATGGAGGAGCCCGAAATGTACAATAGCTTCGTGCGGGAGCTCAAAAAGAGTCTTCTGTCCGGCACCCTTGGCGGCGACAGGCGAGACTTTTGGTTCAAGCTGCGCTGGTCGCGCCTGGGGTTGATCGAGCAGAGCCAGTTGGACACTTCCAAAGTCACGGCCGAGGAAGCAGACGAGGTAAGTAAACAAACTAGTTTGTAGAATTCGTGCTCAAGCAAATACTAACTGCTGTTCTAGTTTTACAAGTCTAGATAGCGTTGTAGATGAAACATGACCAATGGCACTTGAATGGAAACGTGCCTTGCTGCCTGAATGGCACGGCACAGTGTTTGTAGTGAAAAGTCACTTGCGCATCACAGTCGCACAATTGCCGACCCGCAACATCTCGATTTGACATTGCGTAAAATCGAGCAGCATTCGCACTATGCTTTGTCTTTTCTCATGATTGCCCAAGATACCTCAAGATACCTCGAGATACCCCGAGAATGTCAGCCTTTTTAGATATGGAATTGCGCCTGAAGGAGTTAGAGTCGATTCTTGGGCAGCCAATATTTCTGGCCAAGCACGCAGAAGAGAAACCGGAATGTTTGCCTGAGCACAAGCGCGAGCACGAGGGGCCTGGAGTGGTACAGAAGCAAGAGGGGGAGATTTTCTCCTCGAAGAATACCATCGATCGTACGACGCCGCAAGATGCTCTTGCATTGCCTGAGTTTGAGGAGCTCGACGAGATGGGCAAGTATTCTGATTCGGTCCCGTTTTCTCGGCTCAAAGCACAAGATTTGAGCGATGAAAATATGCCATTCTGCCCGTGGAAGCTCGTCAAGAGCTACGCGGACTGCTACACCGGCAAGGGAAATCGCGAGCGGGTACTTATTTTTTTCAAGTGTCCGAATAGTCGCTCTCTGCTAACGTGAGGGCTAGGTTCGACCCTTCTTCAATGATGCCTTGAACATCCGGGATTGGGACTTGTAGGCAGAATTACCCATGTTGGCCTTTTCTTGAGCAACGTCTTCTAACCAGAGTGCGATCCAGCTTCTACATCCGCGACACTCGCGACCCTAAAAAGGCGCATCTGCTCGTCCCGACGAGGCAAATCCAAAACTTCCTTGGCTTCATCAACCGCAGCCTCAGTACCCAGCTTGCCGTTCCCAGAGGCCCGCCCGGACGTTCCTTTTACCTGCGCTTCACTGGCTGCGGACCGTTTCGCCCGCGCTACCTGCTGCACCATGCGCGTGCCGCGCCCGCCGACGCTATCACCGCGGCGGCGACGAGCAGCGGCTTCGACATGGAGGACCCGCGTACGTGGCCCAAGGACGACGACGCCAACGAGAATGCGCTCAACAGGCTCGAAACGGACGCGGGGGCGCTGCTCAACGCCAACATGGCGCTGCTGCGCCGCGACCCAACCGAGCGCGCCAAGTTGACGGCGGGCGAGCGCTTCGAGCAGCGCAAGGAGCAGCGCAGCAAGGAGATGCAGGCTATGTTTCGCCATCTCCAGCTGAAGAACGGCCTGATTGAAAAGGAGTCGGACGTGGTGTTCTTCTGCGTCGACGTGGAAGCGCTTGAGACGGCGCCAGGCATAATCTCCGAGATCGGCATCGCCGTGCTCGACATGCAGCGCGTGCGAGACGAGTCTCCCGGAAACCGAGGCAGAGATTGGTGGCCGATGATTGAGGCACACCATTTGCGCATCAAGGAGTACGCAGGCTTGGTCAACTATCGCTACGTCCAAGGCTGCCCAGATCATTTTCAATTTGGGTACGTTTGAACCTCTGATGCTTACGAGTCCCTTTCCCAACTACTGACACGCCGCACTGCAGCGAAAGCACGTTTCCGAGCAGGAGCGAGGCCCGCGAGGCCATCCGGGCCATCCTGCGCCCGTATCTTGACCAGAACCGTCGCATCGTTATTGCCGGTCACGACGTGCGGCAGGATGTCAACTACCTGGAGCACATTGGCTTCGACCTCAAGCACGAGACAAAGTGTGCCGGCACGGTGGACTTGCAGGTGCTGTACCAGGTCTGGCAGAAGACGGACACGTCGCGCTCGCTATCCACCGTGCTCGACGAGCTGGGCTTCGAGTACAGCTATCTGCACAATGCCGGCAACGACGCTGTGCAGACCCTACGCGCGGTGATTGGCGTGACTTTTGCCGAGACAGAGGCCGAGTCGCCCGCCTAAACAAGGAAGACGACGTGTGGGAGACTAGGGCCGCCGACCATGAGGAGAGAATCTTTCCAGTCTCTCGAGACCAGTTGCTTTTTTATTCAGTTGGTAGCCTTGCTAGATGTGTTTGTCATATGTTATACAGAATTATTACTCGAGCCGTCTATTCCATCACAGTAATGTGACTGACTCCCTGCACACATCCGTTGTGCAGAGATCCTTTGTTTGTCTCTTCTTTTCCCTCTTTCAAATCATGCCAAAATGGGACGCCATCGCTATGAAGGGAGATGTAATATACAAAGGGGCGTGTATCGGTCGTTGCGTTCAAGTTTCGAAAGTCGTTGAAGTGCTGATCCTCAAGCGGTGCCTTGCCTCGAGCAATCTCTACCCAGCGACCGTCCGCTCATGTTTTTTTTTTCGTGTGCGCTATACAGTAGATTGAACAAACGCCCTCATACATGTTTGTCGAGTAGTTCCTTGGCCTCGTTGACCTTGGTGGCTAGGTACGGGCTACCGCCGCGATCGGGATGGTTGAGTAGCATGAGAGTTCGGTGCGCCTTGCGGACCTTTTCCTTGGTGAGAGAGCGCTCGCTGCGAAGACAAAAAAAAAAAGCCGTCAGCATAGTTTCTGGCACAAATAAAACGTCTGGCTGAAGAAATTGTGCCAGCGGTCAAAAGAGCTTACTTGAGAGACAGGACGAGGGTAGCCTCCTTCTTGGTCATCTTTTGCTCAAAGCCACCTTTGTAAAAAGCCTTGCCCATGGCTCCAACACCACCGCGCGAGCGGCGCCATGCGACGAGACCAGCACGGCCCTAGATTTGAAAGAGCATTGTCAGTATTCTTCATCTCCGATTCTGTGGCCCGCCAAGGTCGGTAGTTCGTGTTGGTCGCGAGCTCTGCCAACACTTTGGCCAGCGGTGGTTTGCGCAAGCCAGAGAGAGGGCAGCGGAGCGCATCAGGGAAAGAGGAAAAACCTACGAGGAAAGCGGCGACGGCGGCACCAGCGCCGATGGCAAACACGGAAGCCATTGTGATATGGTCGGGTATGTGATGGAATGGGAGACCAGTTGGAGTTTTGAGTCGTCGATGGCTTCGAGAATCTGGTTGCGCGCGCAGAGCGAATTTGACTGGGCCGCCTTTTTTTTCTGGTTTGGGTCGGGAGATGTCGGCGTCTCGGCGCTCCGGAGAAACCACCTCCGATGAGGCGTACGCCTTCGCCAGCGCAGGACCAAAGCATGAAGAACAGGCGACATGAAAAACAATAAAAAATGGTATTGAAGTGATCTGGACTTCTGTCTATCTTTCTATAATATTTATGCGTAAAATCTCAAAGGGGTATTAATGGAGCACTTTGCTGCAAAAGTCGTAAAAGAGAGTGCCCGTCGCTGCATGTATTTTCGAGGAAAGAGGGTGTTCTTGCTGCTGCTGCTGTCGTGGCCAGGTTCAAATCGACTAGGATGCGAAATGAATCTCGCCAATGAACCGAGACACTTTTCACGGACGACATTGAAGGCGCGCGGACCACTCTGCGGTGCCTACTTGATCGAACCTCGCGCTGAACGGCCACGGGGCCAGTAGTGCTGGCTCTGGCGCATTCTGCTGCGTGCACGGCTCGATCGCTCTAATGCACCTCATCACACCGCCAAAAGTAGGCAGCGCAGGTGTATTGCGGGC